GACGCCGGTGGTGCCAAAAGGTAAGTGTTGTTTGGATCGCTAGGAATAAGAAATTACTAGTAAAATTTCTTTAATTAAGTATAGCTACTGAAAAATATCAAGAGTTACATAATAAAACTGAAAAATTATATAAAAACCAGAATTTATTATTAGTTATTTTCTTCTATATAGATGGATACAAAATTAAAACTGAAAGAATAGAAATATTAAGCAAGATATTAAATTCAAATAGGTTATAAGTATCTCAGATAATCCTAATAAAATAATCAAGAGCATAAATGGATAAGTTCTTCAGATGGTCAAGAAGAAAAAAAATATTTTAGAAAGGTTGACTTCTAATAAAAAGAGGTTTTTAACAGAAATCCTTTGAAGAATATGAAGTATTTTTATTTTTATTTTTTATTTTTTTTTTATTTGATGTACTTGTATAGTTTTAGATATTTCTTTTTTCTTTTATTTCTTTTTTTCCTTTTTATGATTTCTTGAAAACAGTTTCTTGAAAAATAATAAGCAGTGATGACCTATTAGAAATGATAAATAAATCAGGAGAATATTCACATAAAATCTATTATAGAGCAAAATATTGTTCTCAAAATTACATTTAAAGACCAAAATTCTTTTGAGAATTGAAAGTTACTGATGAGTGTGTCAATATGAGTTTTTAGTTTAGCCATAATGCAATTGACCTATATATCTTTATCAGTTTTTATAATGATTAATAAACACACAGTATTGGTTTGATCATGGATTTAAAAAAAAATAATAATAATTTTGTCAAATATTTAAAAGAATAAAAGTGAGTTTAAAGTAACAAAGGAACTTTAAATAAATCCATTTCACATCAACAATATGCTTGCCCCTTAATGGGTCCTAGAGGTGAATAAATTTATCAAACTTTGAATAATGTGATAATCATATTAAAATATTTATAAATCAAATTTGAGTTTACCAAACTTTTATTATAAGTTGTAATTCTGGTCAACATTAGATTTGTAATTTTGGTAAAATTAAGATTTGTGATTCCGGCTGGCATTAAATTTACAATTCCGGCTGACATTCATAATTCTGGTTGACATTAAACTATAGTTTCGGTAGAATTAAGATTTATAATTTCAGTCGGCATTATTATTTTTCGCATTAATCACATTTACCTCTAAGATGTCACAGTGATTATCGCACCACCTAAAGTGGATATAATAAAAAATTAAAAATCAAGAATTAATAATTATCAACATGTTAATAGTGATTTTTTGATTCAAAGGTTAAAATGCAAGAATCAAGAAGAAATAAAACATTGTTTTCTAAATTGAACTTAGAGTGCCTAGTTTTAATATAGTTTGACCTGGTTTGGATGAAAAAAAAACTGTTACTGTAATCCATAAATTCGAATTCCAATTTCGAATGTAACAGATTATACTGTAAGCGCATGCATTGAGCTAATATAAAATGATATTGTTAAATATACAGTATTGATAAATGCGTAATGCGTAAAAGAATAATTTAAATGTCTCGTGTCAGATTCGAACTGACGACCGTCTGTGTGTTAGACAGACGTGATAACCAACTACACCAACGAGACAATGAATAGAAATTTTTTTTTAGTTTAAAATAACAAAGAGTTATTTTTTTCTCAATAATGAGCAATTATATTAAATTTCCCATATTATTAAAGAAACGAGTAAGGTTATATACTGCATATCAGGAAATTACCGACCATCAATGAAACAAAATTTAAAATGTATTCTCGTTTTAGATTAAAAAAATAAATTGCAATCGAAATTTAATATATTCATAGTAATTCCATTATTCCAAACAAAGCACTGACACTTTCTCCATTATGTATCCTCCTTATTGCTTCGGCAAACATTGGGGCAACGTGAAACACTTTTATTTTAGAACATTGTGCTAAGTGGTCTTCTTGAGGAACACTATCACTCACAATAACCTGATCAATGACGCTTTCTTGGATTCTCTGAATTGCATCGCCGCTCATAATTCCGTGAGTTATAATCGCGTAAATTTTACTTGCTCCATTATCACAAAGAACCTTGGCTGCCTTAGTAATGGTGAAAGATGTATCCGCGATATCATCAACAAGAATGCAGACTTTGTCTCGAACTTCACCAACAAGCATGGTGTCTGTCCTGTGAGGTGGAATCTGAGATCGGCGTTCCTTGTGAATGAGAGCAAAGTCCATGTGAAGCTTATCCGCGACGGCTGTTGCCCTTAAAAAAAAAAAAGAATTCCTATGAGTATAGACGAATAACTAGTGATTTCTTATTCCTAGCGATCCAAACAACACTTACCTTTTGGCACCACCGGCGTCGGGAGAAACAATGACAGCCTGTTCCCAATTAGGTATGTTCTGTTTTATATATTTGACCATGAGAGGTTGTCCGTGCAAGTTATCAACAGGGATATCAAAAAATCCTTGAAACTGGGGATCGTGAAGATCCATGGTTATTATGTGGTCAGCGCCTGCAATATAATGCAAAGTGAATTTAATGATGAATGCCTGACATTTTAATTTCAGGAGGTGATGATATCAACCTGCGCACGTTAAAAGATTTGCGATGAGCGTTCCAGAACGAGCAATCCAATGTCTATATCCCGTGCCACGGCCTCCAACGGGAGACCGTAACGAACTGGCATCAGAGTTTTCTGTTACGACAAATGGATCTCTGGATTCACCTGCGGGTGTTGGTGGCGCTGATTCCCCAGAAGGTGCATCGTAAGTATAACCAATAAATGCATTTCTGGGAAACCGCGATAATGGTGCGCCGTTCTTCTTGTAAGGAACATCGGGTTGTCTTGCATATGGGAAACAAGGTATCACAGCTGTCACTTTCTTCGCGGAGGCAGTCTTACACGCAGAGACCATAATCAAAAGTTCCATGAAGTTATCATTTACGTGACCACAACCTGATTGTATAATGTAGACATCCTTTTCTCTGACACTTTCATGAATCTCGACATTGGTTTCTTGATTTGAAAACTTTGACAATTTCACCTTGCCAAGTTGTATACTCAAGCGTGAAGCGATTTGTTCGGCCAAATTTGGGTGAGAGGAACCTCCGAAGATCACAATGTTTCGCATCTTTATGAGATTTCCAGTAGGCGAACCGATGCGGTCACACATTATAAAGCCACCCCAAAATGCCAATTATGAACATGCGATTTTCTAGGGTATAGGATAACAATGTACAGTATAGTATTGCATGATGTCACTACTGATGGATAAAAAATTTTTCTTATCTCTTTTGAAATATACTGTATATGTAACAGCAACAACGAAGATAAAGCAATCGTAAAACGTTATATTAACCATATACATGTAATAAACTTGTAAAATTTTTATCAAAAAGAGTAAAGAGTAATACAAAAAAGCACAACTTTAATAACAGTTTCAAAAAAATTTGCGAATCAATGCGTGTAACTATAACTATTTCACGTGGCCTAAGCTTGCAACTCCGATGAGCAGATGACTCGATGGTTACTTCACCGGTCCGCAACACGATTGCACGAATTACCTCGGCCAATCGGCGCAGTTAACACCATGTCGTTCGTCCTTGATCCCATCGAATTATATGGCAGATCGATTTAATTGTCTTTGATTGAAATTGTTTGAAATGGTGGAATGAGACATACATACCATGCAAGAGGTTTTCCATCAAGGAAGAAACGGAAAGGGAAAAAAGAATTGTGCAAATCAAATCGCGGAAAACCTTGTCGATGTCATTAATGTTTTCCGAAGTGGAATTTCAAGATAAACTACCTCATGTATTTTGAGATTCTTGCTAAGAATACAAAGTCCAGGAACGAGTAAAGTATTATTTTGAATTAATAGAAATTTGTTTATATCTTTATATTAACGGAAATATGAAATCTATACGATTGAATTTGAATCGGGTATTAAATTTGAAAGATTTTGATTGAACACAATTAAATGCAACAGATTAGTTTAAAATAAGTAGTGACAGTAAATTTTTGATATCTGGCTATCCATGTCTGCCGGTTATTATTTTCTAATGTTTTCAAGTTCCATGGCCTCTTGCCAATTCTCTTCATTCATTTTTTCGAGTTCCTCTTCTCTACTCACATCGTTCTCCATCCTTTCAAGTTCTATGTTCCCTTCTCTATTTACAACGTTCATCATCTCCTCAGGTTCTATGTCCTCTTCTCTATTCGCATCATTCTCCATCTTTTCAGGTTCTATGTCCTCTTGCCAGTTGACATCATTCTTCGTCTTTTCGAGTTTCATATCCTCCTGCCAGTTCTCTTCGTTTCTCGGCCTCGTTTTTTCAAGCTCCATACCTTTTTGCATATTCTGTTTTTCAAGTTCCATAACCTCTGGTCTATTCTCTTCGTTCCTCATCTTTTCAAGCTCTATGTCCTCTTGCTGGTTCATTTCGTTATTCATCACTTCAGGCTCCATGGCCTCTTGTTGATTCATTTCATTATTCATCTTTTCAAGTTCCCTGGCTCTTTGCATAAGCAATTCGTTCCTTATCCTTTCAAGTTCCAGGGCCTCTAGTCTCTTCTCTTCGTTCCTCATTTTTTCGGGCTCCATATCTTCTTGCCTATTCGCTTCATTCATCAGCTTTTCAAATTCCACAATCTCTTTCCTATTCTCTTCGTTCCTCATCTTTTCAAGCTCTGTGTCCTCTTGTTGATTCGTTTCATTTTTCCTAACTTCGGGCTCCATGGCCTCTTGCTGATTCGTTTCGTTATTCATCTTTTCAAGCTCCATGGCTTTTTGTATAAGCAATTCGTTCCTTATCCTTTCAAGTTCCAGTGCCTCTAGTCTCTTCTCTTCGTTCCTCATTTTTTCGAGCTCCATAGCCTCTTGTCTCTTCGCTTCATCGATACATAATAAATCTTGAGGGTCATAGGTAATTTCATCATATTCACCAGGTGGACATTGTGAAATCTCGTAATGCAAAGAACGTCCTCTCTGAACAAGCTCCTCTTTGGTCACTATATTTCCCAATAAATCCATTGTCGGCAAATCACTATATTCCGGTAATTTTCCATCAGGTAATCCTTGCAACAAGATGTTTTCTTTCATCAAGGGTACATCAAAGACCTCATTGCTAGAAGGTTTTCCCTCTCCGAGATGAATGTGCGTTCCGACTTCAGCATGATTTGTGGAAAGACTTGTATAATTTTCATAATTGGGATATAGCATCACATAGCCGCGAAGATATGCCAGCTCTATGAAAAATCGTTTCCAGGAATTTCTCCACCTGTTTGAACGACTTTCTGGAATTGTGATATTCTGCACCCTCAGACCCCCCGAATCTTCCAGTCTTGCGATAAAATAATGGTGAAATTCTCTCCAGATTTCAGGAAAGTATACGGCACCCCAACTACAAGGGACTTGACCAAGATATGGAGAATAGAGGGAATACGTTGTACCCTCGAAAGACAACAAAGGGCTAAATTGTTTTCGTCCGGGTTTATGCAATTCATTGATCTTGGAGCTATAAAGACTGATACCATACATTCTTCTGCTTAGAATGCGATCGATTCCGTATCTATATTTCAAAACGCTATATTTCGTCCAGCTATAGAAGAACGGTGAAACTTCTATATCATCTTCAAGTAGTACAGCATAGTCATTATCGTCAACCGGATAATAAGATTCGACAACAGCTGCCATTAGCCCGCCTTGAATTATGCGGTGACGAATATTCTTTTGACCAAAGTTCCATTCTAAAGTTTTACAATATTCAATTGTAACAGGATCTGAATTTCGATCTACATTGATGGTTAATGGCATATCATCACCAAAATAGTATGATGACTTGAGTGATCTAATAAGACGAGCCAAGGAATCCGGTCGATCTTGTGTGATAACCTCCAATCGAATTTTCGGTTTATTCCATTCTATTATAATTGATGTGGGCAAGGTTCGTCATTATCAAATTTTAATAGATATGTAACTGAGCGTTCCATCTTAAAGATTATTAGTAACACCTACGCTTTAACGCCTCAACCGGTAAGTCCGTTAACCACGTCAAGTGTTTCAACTCTTCCAAAGGTATGGCAATCTCTGTAACACCGCTGACTCTTGGGGATGCGCTAATGGCAGCCCTAACTCCGCGAATCGCTTCATTTTCTAGATCTTTTATATATATCAGGATATCAGGCTTGATTTGATCAAGGGTTTGAATGATTCCGAGGAAGACCCTTGTCAGGATACCATATCTTCCTAAATTACCGGCCGAGATTTCAAGTTCCAGGGCCTCTAGTCTCTTCTCTTCGTTCCTCATTTTTTCGGGCTCCATATCTTCTTGCCTATTCGCT